ATCCCTTTTAACGACTTTAGCATTCCACTCCCCTCTTGCTGACGCCCATGTCGTCGTCGTGCTCGTCTTCGCCCCATGATGAGACTAACGCTCCTACTCACACTACAGCTTCTTTTAAAATACGCTGGGGTCTGGAAATCCGTCTTGGAACATGGTGCACCGACCGTCGGTTATAAATCGGTTTTCTTCGTCCTCTTTCCTCTTTATCCTAAAATCTTCTTTCTTCGTCCTTTTTCGTTCACCAGACGGTGGGTCTCGGACCGCAACACGTTCTTTAGATTCCATGAAATGACAAGGTGGCCTCAGGACAAACGGCTCTTCCACCGTCGTTCTGTCTTCGCAGCATCCTTCGTTGTCCCCTTTCGTGTCACGTCCGCCATAGTTTTTCGTCAAGCACTGAACAAGACACCGCCTCAAACACGCCAAAAACTGAGCAATAACGCTCATCAAAACTGCAGCCAATCTTTGGCGTATCATYATTGCCTGSGTTTGAGCCTCTCCCCTCTCGGTACCGTGAAAATCATAAAATGAAGCACATCAACTGAGTTTCAGCTTTTATTTAACATCCAAAGTTACATTCAAAAGCACARTGACATCCTTGACATTTCTTAGYCCCCCCAACTTTTCGAGGAGACACTTTGTTCTTCATCATCACACGATTGACAAAATTGTACACGTGACGATCTCCATGTTTTAACTTAAACGTACGCACAAAATGAGGAAACGATAAATCCCKCGTTCGATAATACYAAAAGGCTAAACAATAATGTCCACACACATGAGTGTCCATCTGCTGCAATCTTGGCATTTCCAGTACGTTCACCTGCTTCAAAATCTCTTGGACGTGGAGATTCTGTTTGTAGGCCATTCTCAAATTGTCTGATCCAAACGAGTCCATGATTTCAATCCTCTTTTTCGACGAGCGTGGTGCATACAGTGKTATCCAYTGCTGYCCCTTTTTTGAAATCGGATCAAGGTTGAAAACCATCCCCCAGGGACGCGAGGGTGGYGACCTCTTGAACTTGGTCAATAAAGCAGCGGCTTGATCCGAACCTTGAGTTCCCATGTACGTGTACCCACGTTGTCGATGGTAATTGTGAGGATGAAAAGCCACAGCGTTCAAAGTATCTGTGGTGAGTTGAATATCCGCATCTCTCAAGTCGTGTTCTTTGTCCCTTCTTCTGTCTGATTGTCTTTTAAATGTTGCCATGCTTTAGCGTAAAGTTCTTGTTTCCATCCAACCAGCCTTGGTTTTCAAAGTAGCCTAGAGTCACAATGGTGGTGTTGTGATCCGTGTTGGCCGAGAACTCGATACGAATGTTGACGGTCCCCTTGTTCTTGTCATAATCATGAGTAAAGTTTTGATCTCCGTCTGAATTAAAATTGTACATGATCAAGTAGTAKCCTTCTTTATAAGATTCTCGGCGGATGCCAATGGGAGGACTTTCCACTCCACGACCAGTAAARTTCAGTAARGCTTTGAAACCTTCCTCTCTGTAATGACCGTCCAACACCAGTCGCTGATGAGGAATCTCCTCTCCGTTTCGGGTCACACGGATGCTGGATTGATTCAAGTCTTGGAAATTCGTAAAGGCATGTTGGTAATCCCCATTGTAAGCATCTCCACGCACAAGACCTACGATCATGTAGTTGGGACAATTTCCWGTAAAGACGTTGTTCCAGTCATGGCTTCGACGTCCATTGGGGATCGTCGTGGTTTTCAAAGAATGGCTCATATGAGGGTACTTGGCAATCATCTTTTTGTTTAACATGTCATCTTCCAACTCCACATGAAGTTCTTCTTTCAACATCACATTATGCACTTTGACTTTGGGGGTGTTGGCAACAATCCTAAACTTGGGAGATCTGTTGGCCTCCGTGCCCTGAGCCTGATCTGCATTAAAGACCAGTTGAGGTCTGTTCCAGTAAATGGTGAAGACAAGTTCACAGCCTGGCGGTAGGTAACGCTGGCTCCTGAATAAGGGAATCACAGGATGGATTTCAAAATGGACAGCGCGACCTTGACAGCACAACTTATGACGCTTATAGGCTCCTTCATTGTGGGTCGTGACACCCGCCTTTTCTCCAGCAAAGACAGCTGTCATCCAAGTATTCAGTTCTACAGCAGTGGGATTGGCTGCATCGTCTACCGCAGCATTGTCGCCACCCAGTTGATAATCTGCATGAATGGTAGGGGTTGGGTCTAGAACATCTAGGCGTCCTGGAGTATCCTCATACCATCCTTCAATGGTGAGGTTGTCTTGCTTTTCTTGGACACCAAATTCAAGAAGGCGAACCAGATAAGCTATCATGAAATAGTTATCCTCACTACTTTCTTGTACATTGTTTCCATTCAAAGTGACTTTCATTTGACGGATCAGAGAATGACCAATGTTGTTGACAGGAGCCGTTAAAGCCGTGTTTGCAAGCTTATTACCCTGAGCATCAAGAAATTCCACATCAAACTCGAGCGTGATACTCGTCATATCCGTGTAGTGGTCAGAACCGGGTACAGTGATGATGAGCGGATCCATGGTCGTTTGTTGTTGCATAAAGGTTTCATAACTGGTTCGTTTGGTTGTCGTGTCGATCAGGGGTTCCGTGAATAAATCCACAGACGATTTCAAAACCTTTTTGACTCTCAAGGGTTCCGTCACATGCTTTTCTTCTTGAATGTTCTCTTCCCCGTCGTCGTCGCCGTCGACTTCTACCCTCTTGCGCTTATGCCCTCCTCTCTGCTTTGGCATCTTGACTCCAAATGAAGAACTGGTGACGTTTTCTTCTATTTTAATACTTGTAGGATACTGCCTTTGTTTTCCTCAATTTCATTTTATCGGTCTCCAGGGTTTGAATCAACTTTTGTCGTACTCCTTCGTTTGATATTTTTGGCGACTTTCTAATGGC